AGAGACAGAGGTCTGGGAATTGGAGGCTCTAATGTTGTACCTGTTTTTTGTGTGCAAAGAATTTAGATTTATATTTCCATGTATTCGCCAAAACTGGAAAATATTTTTGTTGCTTCTCTTCTCTCGTTGTATTTGTTTTATAAAAATCGGTCAAAATTGACGTCAATCGAGATGATGATAGTTATCGGAGCTGACTGTGGCTCTCATTAGGTTTGCAATCAAACGAGACAAACCACACAGAATTGTACACTAATCAGAGTCAACAGAGTTTTGCATTGAATCCTCTCTCGCATACAATTCACTGCAAACTAATAATTATAAAATAATCAGCGAAAAACTCAAAAATCACTGATAAATAACTTATTCGAAATGATTAATAATTTTACCGATAAGTATATACTTAACAATAATATATTGTCTACAATAGTAATAAAGTTTTGAAAAACATTTATTAAATGTTTATATATTTCTTCAGTTGAAGTTTGAAACACTTTGAATCCTTTTATCCTTAGGAACGGCTTTGCAATCAAGTTATTCGCATAAAAAACACACATATATTGAGAAAAACAAAGTCATTGCCGGGAATTGTGTTGTCATTAATCCTTTCATGGATTAAGTGATTGTAAATAACTATTTTAATACATAAACATATATTTTTCAAAGAAACATTCATAAATTCATTGCGATATTAAAGCCTCAAAAGTTTTGAGTCAAAACCAATCAATAAGAATCTACCGAAAGAAAAACAACCAAAAGCAAAATACTATTAATACTTTTAATTGTTTTACAACAACATGTCTATCAGACAGTGTGCCTATTCATTGCTCCGGTGTTTCGTATAGTATTGTGTCATTTCATAAAATTTTATTAGTTTTAAGAAAAACAAGTGTATTATTCATACAATTCTAGTGTAAAAAAGTGTTACAATAATGTTGACAGAGAATAGAGTGACGACTAATACAAGCGGTACTGAAAGTGTAATTATAGCCATAAAGCAAAGGATAGCCAATAATTTGTGGCATTTGTTACGAAAGGCAACTTTGATGCCAGAAATGAGGTGCGAATTACATATCAATTCATCTGTTGTTCACTTTATTACAGCCGTAAGTGTTTGTATACCTTATGATATAATGTTATGTATGTTATGTATACTATTTTTCTCATTGAAACACACTTTACATTTGTATTTGGCTTTCAAAGCCCAAAATTTGTTTTCATCACTGATTTGGAATAGATATTGAGAGAGAGAGAGAGAGAGAGAGAGAGAGAGAGAGAGAGAGAGAGAGAGAGAGAGAGAGAGAGAGAGAGAGAGAGAGAGAGAGAGAGAGAGAGNGAGAGAGAATGAAAAGAGAGTATTAGTAGTCGTTAGGAATCCGAGAATAGCAGAGAGAGAGAGAGAGAATATAAAAACGATATAAAACTCTATCTTTAGATTGCATTTACGTAAATGGAGTGCAAAATAACAAGTGTTTGTGTCGCTTACGTTTACCTGTAATTTAAGTTTCAATAACTTTCTGTAAGAAATATATATTACGCGACGACTGTGTATATCGTAGTTAAACGGCGTGTAAAACATTATATGCAATACATTTCTATATATACAGTATATTAATAGTAATGATTACACAGAATATATCATAAGGTGGTTATCGACGTAAACGAGTAATTAGTATTGAATGAGAGAAAAAAGAGTATTGAAAAGCGATTTATAAAACTTATATATAACTTGATTTCGTGTTTCGAGTGTTGCCTTATATACAGTACTATTGAATGACAAAGTGATCGTTCCGTCAGTCGATGGGAAGGCATTCAGTAAACGTTGAATAGAGAGAAAACCTCCGAAAAAAAGAAAAACACGTTTTAGTGATTTGTTTGCCAATGAATGGGAATCTAATTTAATTCAATGACGTTCTTCAGCACTGGTTAACGTTAGGGTCCCTTCAATCGCATCCCCTCTATATAGGATACCCTTCGCCAGTGGTGTTCAGGTGTGCGCTTACATGTCGTAAGTCAGGTAGACATCAGTTCCGTTTCGCTCATACCATAACCAATACGTGTATGACTTGTTATTATTATTTTTATCCATACCTTTTCGCCTCAAGAATTAATGCTTCCGAACCATGCATTTCGATGACTATTATAAGTAAAGCTTTTTCTGCTCTCTTCAACCAAATGAGAAAAAACTGCTTTTCATTACTGGTTATCCTTCTCTTAAACGAAGAGCACATCTCCGACACGAGTTTGAACTCATATCTGAATCTCGTATTCAAACTAATGATTGTTTAGAAAAAACTTTATTATTATTGTTATGATTGACTTAAATTCAGTTAAATACTGGCCGTCCGAGCGATCGCTATATATTGAGTGTCTATTCAAATGAGGACTACATTCCGCAACACGTATTCACCCAATACTTCAATTCATAGTTAACTTCATCTGTTGTTTAGTCTCTCATTTATTTATGAATTAACTTATTTTTCTCTCGTATTTAATTTAAGTTATTATCAGTGTTTTGTTGTTTGTCTACTATTTATTATACTTAAGTTATTATTCACTTATCATTATTAAAATTTGTGATACATTTGAAACATTTGGTGTGGAAATGAAGTTTAATAACAGTGCAATGATTTCCAAACTGTATTACAACGACTACTCATTGAAATTCTCAAACAAACTATTAAACAATTTAACCAATAATTGCGCCAATTTTGTCAAAAATGTATGTATTTTCTTATGGTTTTACAAATCAATTACATTATTATTATATCAATTGTTTAATCGCGAGTTGTGTTTAACGCAAATATTGATTTTAATCACCTATTGTTTTATGTCTGATATTTATTTTCAATTAGTTTTTTCTATTAGACAAAAAACTTCTCAAAAACTTTTTTATTTGCGCTCAAAAACTAATTATATTTATTATTTATAAATAAATATTTGCGGAAAATTAGTTTACATTTGTCTCGCATTGACGTCAATTCACAATGAGTTTTGAAAATAATTATTTAAATAAATAATAATTTACAACTAAATCATTACATTAAACATTATTTAAAGGTCTTATTAGAAGGACATTGGTGAAATCTATTTATAACTAACTCGTTGTTCTTTATATGCTTTTTAGGAACATTTCGCCAATGAATCAGATATTGCGGCCGAAGAGGAGACCGCGAAGAATGAGAACCTAAACAAGAATAACAGCAAAAAGTCGCCCCAAATATCGACCGCCAAATCGCGGTGGAAAGCGTTGGCCAGAAGTGCTTTCGTTCGTAACCTTCATAAGAGCGCCGCTCACTCTCAGCCCACAAACGCCCCAAACAATGACACCAAACATCACTCGACCACCAATGGAGTGGTCAGCGCAGGAGGCGGTGGTGTTGGCGGAGGGGTTGGCAGCGGTGCCAACAATCATCAAAAAGACAATCATAATAGCGTTGTGGTCAACAATGACAACGACAAAGAGCTAACACTGTTGGAGTTGTTTGCGCTGAACTCATTGGAGTTGAGCGCACCCGCCAGTGATATCATAATGAAGACGCGGACCAACAATTGGGTACAGCTGTCGGGTCACGAGGACTCGTTCGCGTTGGCGGGTCCGGGAACCATATGGAAGAAGAGGTCCACCGACGACACGGAAGTGCGGGCTTACGAGGCGCTGATGCAGGACTCGATGTGCGAAATGGTGCCAAAGTTTTTCCGCGACGTCTTCTATAACGGCGACTATTTCATCGAATTGGAGGACCTGTTGTTTGAGTACAAAGACGCGGCCATAATGGACATCAAGATGGGCACCCGTACCTTCTTGGAGGGCGAAGTGACCAATCAGAAGGCGCGCACCGATCTGTACGACAAGATGATCAAAATAGACCCGAACGCGCCCACAGCCGAAGAGCACCGGCAGAGGGCCGTCACTAAACTTAATTACATGAAGTTCAGGGAAGCCCTGTCCTCGTCATCCAATCTCGGCTTCCGGATCGAAGGCTTTAAAGTACGTTAACTGAGACCTTATCTCTCAACCAGTCATTTGACTCATTTCTCTCCTTTCATTTCCTTATATTTCACCTTAATTTATACAATCTGAGCATCGATTGCATTGATATACAGTATAAATAGTATACTAATAGTGTTTACTCTTTGCTTCCCAATAGGCCGGTGAGGACTTACAGCTCTGCAAAGACCTAAAGCTAGTGAAATACAGGGACGAAGTGAAGGCTACACTCAAAGCGTTTCTGATGTCCAAAAATCAGATCCGCCTTAAGCTCATCGATCGACTCAAACGATTGGCCGCGAAGTTCGAGAGCTCTTCATTCTTCGACACACACGAAGTGATCGGCAGTTCTCTACTAATCATTCACAACGGGAAGAGAGCGGGCGTTTGGATGATCGACTTCGCCAAGACTATACCCGTGCCCACCGGCGTCACCATTGACCACAAATCTCAGTGGCATTTGGGTAATCACGAGGACGGCTACCTCTTTGGGCTCACAAATCTGATCGAGATATTAGAGGAATGCGCCGACGATTAGGACACCAAAACACCATTTCACTCGCGTTTAACCAATTGTTAGCAATCATTTCAATGTATAATTGTACACAATGTAGAACATTGTACAATCATTCACTGTTTATATATTATTATTATTATTTAAATCAACTCAAGTATAGCTCGACATCAAATCAAAGCTACAAACATAACACACAAATATATATAAATAATTATATGTGAAGATTATTATCACTTCATTTTTGTAATTTGATTTTCTTGTGCCAAAAATGTTCATTATATCGAGTTTTTGTATATAATTTATTACATAATTTTCATTTTTATTATGTATTTTTACATCGAAAAAAAGAAAAACACATTTAATATTCAATTAAAATAGAAATGAAAAGTTTATATAATAGTGAATACATTTAATGTATATTAAGATATGAATTAATGGTTTATAATTAGATGAGATGTAAATTGAGTTAAATATTGCGTTAAAAATGGCTAAAAATTACGAAAAAAATTATTAGTTTGATTACAATACAAACTTAGCTCATAGTTATAAAGGGGGTAAACGGGAGGCTCTATTAGTAGTATCTCATTGTGTATAGTTATCAGACGGATCTCAAACAGGAAAATGTGTATTTTCTCATCACTGGTTATCTCATAACCATTAACAACGAGGTAATACCAATAGAATTGATTGGCATTTTGAGTGCCCCTTTAAACTCTACATTCTGTACATATGGCAGTCTGTGAGCGCCGGTAGTGCTCGTCCAGACTGTGCGCTCTCAAGCATTCATTTCCAATGAAATGTCTTCTTTTATTGTCGACAAATAGTCGGTCGATATCTTTAGCAGAGATTTCTTAATGCGAAGGGCAGTCAAACGGGCGGACGGGTTGTGAGCCCACGACTCGCGTATTATTTTCTCCAACTCTGATAATAGCTGTCGAAATAAAAACACAAAATTATTTAAAATTCAATGAATTAAAAATCAAATCAACTAAATATTAGGCATTTAAAGGTCAATATAATTACATTGTGTTTAAACCAACGGTCAGGTATGGGAGGCCTCTGTTGGTCGAGGCATACAATTTTTCGCATGTCTTCAAAGCTCGGATCGTTTGGCACCTGTTTGTTGAACGGAACAGAATAGTCATCACAACAGCCGTCCACTCGTGTCCGTCGGACCACTTCCCAGAAGACTAGCGCTAATGAGTATCTGTTTTTTGGGGCAATTCATAACAATTAGTATACAAATAACAAATGATATCAATAATATCAGTCATACATGTCGGCCATTTTGTATGACTCAAAAACGTCACTCTTCATGGTCTGGTCGAGCACTTCGGGAGCCATATATCGTTTGGTGCCGACCCTGTGATTCTCGGCGACGTCCACTTTGCCAGTGGTCTGCGTGTGAGTGACCGCCAGACCAAAGTCGGCGATACAGCAGTTGAACGTGTCTTTCATCAGTATATTCTTGGATTTGATGTCTCTGTGAGCGATCGCCGGCTTTCCTAAACCGCCGAATATCTCTGTGTGTAAGTGAAGGACACCCGATATGATGGACACCAATATCGAGAGCATCTGTTTGTCTTCGAGCGGAGTGTCGTTGAGATAGTCGTAAAGCGATCCCAACTCGTGATAACTGGTGATCAGCCATAACTGTGTGCACGAGTTATATGAAGTGACGTCTGAGCCGAGAAAAGCCAATATGTTTTCGTGTCTCAACATAACCGTCGAGTAGATCTCCGTCTCGCGATTCCACGACATCTCGTCGCGGCTGAAGAATATCTTGACGGCGATGTTGTCCGACTGCCAGACGCCGCGCCACACCTCTCCGTACCGACCCTTTCCGATGCATTCTTCGAGATGTATTTGTTTGGCTAACGTTCGCTGTATTAGTAGCGGCAGACCAGAGCCGGAGCCCGAAGTGACCGAATGCTCGAACACTTCGCGTAGAGTCGAGTCTCCGGCGGCGGTCACCCGAAGGTCTTCGTTATACGTGCAGTCATTGCCATTGCGGTCGACATTTGGTGGACTCAAACCCGTGCGCAACAAATGAGACATCTTTTGCTTGTGTTTTGAGCGCAAACGGAAGATCACAAACGCCACGAAACCGATGATAATGAACGCTATCAACACACCGAACACTATGAACACGCCGTCCATACCGAAGCCATCGCCGGCGGAACCGCTATCGCTGTCGGCGCCACTCTTGGCGATAGTGTTGGCGTTCAGTGCGTTCTGATTGATGGTCGGGAACCAGTTGTTGCACATCTCGTGGCGACAACAGTAGGCGCTGTACTGTTGATTGGATCTCATGTACACCTCGTGAGTGTCATTCAAGCGGACATTCTTCGGGCCGCAGACCATATGCTGCTGACCCGCAGCCAGACATCCCTTTCGGTATTGAAATCGTTTGTCCTTTTGGTGCCAAACGGTTGAACTGAAACACTGGTCCCGAAAGAGAGACACAAAGAGATACACAAAACCAGTTATCAAATCAATGGTTAAAATCAATTGACAAATCAATTCTTGGACTTTACTCACGAGTATAGCGTTTTCACAAGTGTTGACATTGGGATCCGTTTCGCACAATTCAAAGTCACACTCAAAGCACTTCATTGTCTATCAGTTATTAAAACACACGAAATGGCAATAAATTAAAACACATTTAAATTACAATTAAAACCCAATTAAAAGACAAACAAATGATATATTTGTGGCAAATGTTTGTCAAAACAAATGACTTGTTTTCGAAGACATGATTCAGTGTTTGAGAAGTTGTGGAGAAATCGTAAACAAAGTAATCGATAATTGAATGCAAATGTGAGACACAAACCATCGATTGTTTTGTTGCTTCACTTCTATGGCTAGACTTTGCCATTGCGTCCACCAAAACACCACTTATACTAACACTCACTAATATTTAGTCATATTTATTATTTACTAATTAATTATTTGTTTTAATTATTTATTAATTGTGTTTTGATTTAATGGATGACTTGTGTCTATAGAAAAATTATCTATTAATGATTTATAACATATTTGTCATTATATGCGGGTTTGAGTGAATGTAATGTTTGGTATGCATTGAACGCTACAGTAATGTTAAGGCATTTCCATAGCCTCCGGGCTTTTGAATAGTTTTGAAAAGTTCACAAAACTATTGGTATTTTATGTGCGAAAAGTTATCATCCATTCAAACATGTAATTCATTATATGAATCCCTTTTTTGTGATTAATAATTGAGAAATCGTTTACATATATAATGCAATGCCTATTGTTTTCTGGACTTTAATTTACATACAATTGACTTTTCAATGAATAATAAGTATACGAAAAGATTGCACTAAAAATATATGCATTTATGCGATAAATATATGGAGAAATACCTGGAGTCAAGTGAAGCGCCGGTAGTTTTTTGTTGGGCTCATTATACCTATGATGTGTGTATGTGTTGTATTAGTTGCACACAATTTATCATTTAAACCCTTTGACCCATTGTTTGCCAAAAAATATAATAAACTAAATGTATGATAATTGATTTGAATGGGTAGGTAAGGCTACTCCCGGTCCTCCCATACCTACAATCATGGGCTAAATTGTAGCTCAAAATACAGTAAATTGATTGTTGTATCCAATGATATATTATCTCTTCTGTTATTATGAATAGTAAACTAATTGAAAAATAATAATAACAATAAAGTTTTGTTTCTCAATGAGTTTTTTTCGTACACATAATTAAGCCTTGAATACAGAGATTTGTTAATTAGTTGGGACTATAATTATATAATTACATGCAATAACACAACGAGTTTATATATACCGAAGACTTTTATGGCATTAATTAAGAGGAATTGTTTGATATTTTAGTTTTCTTTGTGAACCAATTCTTTGCGGTTAATCGACAGACAAATCATTAAAGTTTTCGTTTCACCACAAAAACAGCGATTGTTTTAAAATTCAATTTATTTTAAATCCAAAAGTCATTTATTTCTAGCAATTATTTTGTCTGAAATTTTTATTTTTCGCTTATAATTAAAATGAAACAAAATATGTTTTTGAACTACAATTTGAGTCTAATTTATCACTTGAGCATTGATTATATGACAAAAATATCTTGTTTTTCTCCCTTAAGTCTTAATAGGAATAAAAATGAACAAAAAATATGAGCCAAAAGTTTGAATATAACTTATTACAAATAATTAATAATAATGTGATTGCAAACAATTCTGTGTTAAGTGGTTGTTGAATTTTAATACCCCGATGAGTTGTATATCAAATATGCCATTGAATCCCATTAATAATTACTTATAAATTATTCAAAAAATAAATTTACTGTAATATATACGTGTATATAATGTATATAAACTACAAATACATATAATAATTATTACTGTAATAATCATTAAAATAAAAGACAAGAATTTTATTGCAAACTCTTAAAGTGATAATACGCTAAATAATTAACTTTACATACCATTAATAACTTAATATATTTGATACCATTAAATGTATTTGACATTAAACATCACGAATACAATCAATTGAATCATTGTATGTATTTGTATTGATTTGAATTAATTACTAATAAGTGGGCCAATGATTTGGGGGTATATTTCTGCCAGAATTTTAAATACAGGCCAAACATAATGACAATTAGATTTACACTTATTTATTTAACAAAATACAATTTTATGTGCATTTAATCAGACAATACCATTACCACGAAAAAAATTACAAACTCTCGCGTATAGATCAAAGAGTCAGCACATCCTCATGTGAAATATCAATTAGTTATATAACACACAAGTTATTTAGATATGCTTAGTATCTAATTGTGTGCCCGATAATAAAATAACACCGAGTATAATATTATATTATATTAGTTCAACGATTTTTTACCTTTACCGTATATTTAAAAAAACATACTGATTCAAATCAATTTCTATATTTATTTGGTTATTATTTTAATTTTAATTTATTTTTAATTTACAAAAATTATTCATTTTATGTATTCTTAGAAAACCAGAACTTTTATTCTTGTTGTGATTGTTTTGTTTGCGAAAATAAATTATTCTTAAAAATATAGAATTAAATTAAAAATTTATTTTATTGTTAAACTCTTTAATTTATGGTAAAAACCAAACAACAATTCACTGGATATTTATTATACCATTATTTATAAATTTATATATAATTTTGCTAAATGTAAATAAGAGTCAAAGAATACGTTTATTTTTAGATTAAAAATTACTTTTAACGTAAAGTAATTAAAGTATATTAAGATAATAAGGAGTTATAGAAAATTAAGCATGATTATACTAATTAATTAATTTAATTAAGGTTTATTGTATTTACCATAACATTAGTGCACTAATTTATAATATAAAATCTAGTTTTAATTGCAATTTATTAAATTAACACAATTGGCAGTCAATTATTGATTCCTTGATCCTATTCTATAAAAGGTATATCTTATCACTGTTTACGGAAAAATATTTATTTAACAACAAAAATAGTAACAATACACTACACAATACATTATACTTTCACTCACTTAATATAGTTTTAATTTAATAAAACTGTTTTATCGTCAAAATGTGTTTTCCTGTAAAAAAGCACAAATATTTGTAATAAAGGTTTTATTTGTTTTTCTTTTTTTATTTATCATTATTTCATTTCCAGTTAAATTCCTTGAAAAATAAAATGCATCTAAAAATGGTTTATCTATGCATTCATAATAATTTATGCTAATTCTTGCATTTAAAGTAACGAAATAAACCAAACAAACAATAGGATTTCATCTCAAAACAATTGCATGTCTAGACTCGAGATTTTTCACATGTTGTTTATAAATGTATTAATAA